AAATGCACAGAAGAGCCCAGAACAAGGAATTATATGACTAATAAATCAATAGCCCTGAGCTTGAACACTAAAAGCCCTGGTATAAATGTGTTCCTCCCACTCCACTGAGAGGCAAGAACTCCATGATTCAGTGGAAGATGGGCCTGCTGAGTCCAGGAAGAAGGGGCCTGCTATTTAGAGCTGAGTCTATTTAGAGTAAAAGCCTCTTCAAGGAGTTAGCCTTTGACGGTAAGTTGCTCAGAAAAGCCCACGTCTCTGCGTGAAGACTATGAATGCCCTTCCCTGTCACTTTGCCATGATGACAGTTTGCAGTATGTTTATTTTAAGAAAAAAGGTAATATGTTATAGTCTGAAAATTATAAACCTCGAAAAATTACCTGTTCTTTCCTAACATGACAAACATGTCATTTCAGCTCGTCACCCTCAAACTACGTGTTTCATTTTAGCTGCTCATTCTCTCTATGTGTCATTTCCACTCTTTTCTAATCGTTGCTTTCCAAATCCAAGGAAAGAGGGTTTCAGACACTTGTGTTATTTTTTTCTTCCTCACATTCAGGAGGCAAAGATGTTAGGGCTTCTAACAGCCTGGATGACATATTATAAATAAAGGACAGTTTCAGTCACAAGCTGGTCTGGACCATGTGCTTCTTCGGTAGCAGAAGGGGAATCTATGTTGTCTTAGATGTGCACGTTGAAAAACGATGTGTAAGAATAAAAATTGCTCTTAGCTCCTAGTTGGTTTGCACTCCGTACTGAAGATAAAGGCAGGGCAGTGCTCCAGTCCATCTCCATGATGACTTGCTGCCTGCTCTGGGTGGCTGTCAGGTGCCAGGCATGAGTGTGAGTGCTTGGCGTCATGCTTACTACAGAGCTAGCTTGTATTGAGGGTTGATTGTCACTTTGTCATCCTTCCCATCTTATCTTTACCATTTCGGATCTGTTTTGATGTGGGACTGTGATAATTTACTTGAACTGATATGAGTGTCCCAAACCTCCTTGCTTTGAATAGAATGAAATCACATTGAAAGAGCCCTAACAGTGTTATTTTATTTTGAGATACATCAGTTGATGAAATTTCATATTTAAGTCTCAGGTCCAAGGCTCAGGAAAGATAGCTGCTTCATCTGGTTACTTTAGACTGGAGTTCGACAGCAGCGTCCCGTTTTGCACACTGTAACTCCTTTTCAGAAGTGAAAATCATACTGTTAATGTTATAACCCAGGTACAATGAGTATTTGCTCATCCACTGTTGATTACAGTGCTCTGAGCTTGGGCAGGGATTGTGGGCTGGTGGACACCTGAGCCTCTGGCTCCCCATTTGCCTCCCTAGCCCATCCTCCACCTTCATGCTCAGTGTCTCTTGTTCCTACAGAAGCCATTCTCTTGCCTGGTCTTGATTTGCAGTCCCATTATCTATTTCCCTGCCCAACCTGAACGTTTGGGTCAATGGGAATGTTGTAGAATTCCTTCCATTCTTAAGGACTCCAACCTACTGCCTGCTCGGAAGTTCTCGGGCCTGGTGAGTCCCGTACTTGGCTTCCTTATATTCACTCCCTGGTCCCTGCTGGTAAGTGCAATAGGCCTTACCTCATGCTCCTCGGTTCCTTTGCAAATTCATACATGCATAGAGCTTTGTATGCAGTTGGCACTCTGTAAGTATTGAGTGAATGAGAGACTCTAAACTCAGCAGGACCTTCAGGTTTCTAGTCAGGTTTAATCATATTGAGCCAACTTCTATGAAATTAACCCATAATTTTTCTACTCTTCAATTTCAAAATTTCAGTGATCATGGCTTTATCCTTCCTCATTGCTTTGACTCAAAAAATACAGACTGTGAAATTTGATACACCCTCAAATCTATGTTTTCTTTATCTTGAAATCTCACCATTTGTTCAGGCGGTAAGCACGCCTCTTTAAAGAAGGCCTGTTTCCTCCCTTTCACTTTCTTTACTGGGACCCTGATAGCTTCCCACCTCAGTTTTCTCTGGATTTTCTTCTAGTTCCTCTCTATTTTATTTACTTATTTATTATTATTATTTTTAGAGACAAAATCTTCCTCTGTTGCCTAGGCAGGAACCCTGTGGCCCCTTCTTAGCTTTCTGCAGCCTTCAGCTTCTGGGCTAATGCAGTCGTCCTGCTTCAGCCACCCAAGTAGCTAAGACTACAGGCACACACTACTATGCCTGGCTAATTTTTACTTATTTTATTTTATTTTTTGTAGAGATGAAATCTCACTATATTGCCCAGACTGGTCTCAAACTCCTGACTTCAGGTGATCCACCCGCCTTGGCCTCCCAAAGTGCTGGGATTACAGACATGAGCCACCGTGCCCAACCAAGTGTCTTAAACTTAATGTGCACAAAACAAAATGATCCTATTCTCACCTAAACAAAATCCATCTGTTGATTATCCTGTTAAAATGAATGGCATCACTATTCTTGAAGTCACATTTTCTGTCGAAAGTTCATCTATGTCTCTTAGCTCTGTGTTTCCAAAATTTAGCAAATTATAACAACTACTCTTTTATTATATTTTGCAATTTTGGGGTCAGGAATTTGGGCAGTGTTCAGCTAAGAGATTTCTCTGCTCTCATGACATCTACTGAAGTTACCCAGTGGGTTTCAGCTTTACTCATGGCTGGAGTATTGTGCTCATGGGTGACCTGTCAACTACAGCACCTAAATGTGTTCTCTCTAACATGGCCGTCTCAGGGTAGTTGGGCTTCTGACCTAGTGTCTCAATGTCTTAAAGAATGTGTTCTCTCTAACATGGCGGTCTCAGGGTAGTTGGGCTTCTGACCTAGTGTCTCAACGTCTTAAAGAATGTGTTCTCTCTAACATGGCGGTCTCAGGGTAGTTGGACTTCTGACCTAGTGTCTCAACGTCTTAAAGAATGTGTTCTCTCTAACATGGCCGTCTCAGGGTAGTTGGGCTTCTGACCTAGTGTCTCAACGTCTTAAAGAATGTGTTCTCTCTAACATGGCCGTCTCAGGGTAGTTGGGCTTCTGACCTAGTGTCTCAACGTCTTAAAGAATGTGTTCTCTCTAACATGGCCATATCAGGGTAGTTGGGCTTCTGACCTAGTGTCTCAACGTCTTAAAGAATGTGTTCTCTCTAACATGGCCATCTCAGGGTAGTTGGGCTTCTGACCTAGTGTCTCAACGACTTAAAGAATGTGTTCTCTCTAACATGGCCGTCTCAGGGTAGTTGGGCTTCTGACCTAGTGTCTCAACGTCTTAAAGAATGTGTTCTCTCTAACATGGCCGTCTCAGGGTAGTTAGGCTTCTGACCTAGTGTCTCAATGTCTTAAAGAATGTGTTCTCTCTAACATGGCCGTCTCAGGGTAGTAGGGCTTCTGACCTAGTGTCTCAATGTCTTAAAGAATGTGTTCTCTCTAACATGGCCGTCTCAGGGTAGTTAGGCTTCTGACCTAGTGTCTCAATGTCTTAAAGAATGTGTTCTCTCTAACATGGCCGTCTCAGGGTAGTTGGGCTTCTGACCTAGTGTCTCAATGTCTTAAAGAATGTGTTCTAAGAGACAGGAAGCAGCTTTTAGGGCCTGGGCTTGGAAACTGGCACAACATGTCTTCTGCTGTATTCAGATGAGCAGAGCAGTCACTGAGCCAGCCCAGATTCCAGGTGGGGAACACAGACCCACCCCTCGGTGGGAGGAATGGCAGACTCTGTGGCCATCTTTAATTTGCCGTACTTTATGGCAAAGTCATTGTGTACTGAGTTTGCCTTTTTATTCACACTGACACCCCCGAAGTGACTGTTTCATTTATTTCTCTTTTTAACTATGGAAGTGGCTTCAAATGGACTTCTTCGTTTCTGTGCTCTCATCTGACTAATTTCGTAGGTACGCTATCATGAGAATAATATTATTAATGTTAATAAGAGCGTCTAACATAGTTGCTTGTTGCTGAAAAGACCTCACACCATAGTGCAGTTTGCCTTCCAAGTCTTAACCTCTGCAAGCTCTTCCCACGACTTCTCTTTAAATTTCCTGGATCAAGTACAGCAAACCATTCCCAAAACATGTTACTTACGTCTTCCTCTTGCCCTTCCAATGCGCCTTTTCATCCTCTTCCCTGGGGAAGGAATGTGCTTCCAGGAACCTCCATCTGTCGAAATCCTCTTTATCCTCCAGCGTTGTACTCACACTTGAACTCCTGCGTGGACCCTCTTTGTAGCAGTCCTACTCTCCCTTGACTCCCACAGCACTCTCGTTCTTTATAAGGCTTGCTAATAGCTTGGATTATAGTTATTTTTACAGGCCTATATTACTTTAATGCTTGTTAATCATTTAAATTGTTCATAATCTTTACAGTTTCCCAGCATAGTACTTTTATTTTACCCAGTCAGTGCTTGATACAGATTTTATTTGATTCACACTTGATCGCCAGCCAGTTATTTTGCAGGCAGATTATCTACAATTTTAAAAGGTTATTCTGCATCACTAAATACAGAATTTACCAAATCGTGATGCTTTTTCAAAAGTTGGGTAGCATGATACTCATCAATTTAGTAGTAAAAGACAACGGCTGTGGCCTTCTTAAAAATATGTCCGTTAAATGTTTCAAAGGGATGGGCAGGTATTTGTAGGGTTTCCACATATAGATCTGTGTTTGTACAAGGGGGTAGGACAGGTGGCCAAGGGAAACCAGCCGATCCCAACTATTAATCCACATTCCTGAGGAGTGACTGTGATGGCAGTATAGGCAGTATAGCTTAAACCTGAATGTTTCTCACTTTACAACAAATGGGCTACGTCATGCAATTATTGGGAGAAAGAAAGGTCTGTATTGAGACACATGCACTCATCTATGCATTCATACACAGCCTGGTGCATGACCTAGAAAAATGTGCTGGTTTAAGCTCTCCAGGCTCTCCTCTGTCTCCACAAAGTGTAACCTTGAAGTTAGTGAGGAGTTTTACCAGAAGACCACCCATCAGAAAATGAACTCACGGCCATCTGATTCTTCTGTTTTGTGTGTTTTAGGCACTTTCCACACATGAGGGGAAGAAGAGCTTCTGTCTAGAAGACACGTGCCCAGAGTCAGACGCCCCTTGCCCACCATGAAGGGAACCTGTGTTATAGCATGGCTGTTTTCAAGCCTGGGGCTATGGAGACTCGCCCGCCCAGAGGCCCAGGGCGAGACTCAGTGCCAGAGAGCCGAGCACCCGGTCATCTCCTATAAAGGTAAGGGACCAGCACGCACTGAGTGCAAAGCCATCATCTAAATGCACATTCTGTATTTAGTGATGGAGGATAATAGAGCAGCGCAAATGCTGTAGAATCCAGCGACTCTTGTTTTAGACATAGTTTAAAATAAAAGTAAAAATACAAAAGCCTTTATCATTGGAATTTCATATCCAGAAACTGATCACTACCTCAAGAAGGATTTGGACAGGGGTTACCAAGGTAGAAAATCTCACTATTTCTGGTCACCTTTATTTAACAAGTACTGTAGCCCTCCCAGGTGTTTGAACCAGAAGATAAAAATGTGACCATAAAAATAACAAGGAAACCAAGGAAAGCCTAAAATTCTTCACTGTGGCATTTTCCCGCGAAGCCTTCATCTTGCCACAAACTTACCCCTCTGTTTCCAACTAGCATTGCGTGGCAGCAGAACTGTTTTAATGTCCCAAATATCTCTATGGATTGGTGGGATTAAATAATGAATCTGCATATCCACTCATTTATTCTTTCATTCATTGAAATTTATTTAGGGTCCTTCACACCAAGGGGACTCAATCATTCATAGTAGAAAAGAAAATAGACTTTGTCCCTGTCCTCAAAAAATTGTATTATCAGGCTGAATATGGTGAATCAGACATTGTATTTTAGTAATTCATGCACCAAGTGGTTTTCTATTTTGTTGCTTTTTAAACTTTGCATGCCCCACACTTCACCAGTTCATGGCCTAGCCCCACCCTTCTTTTCCTCTAAAGTTTCACTCATGCTTCGTCTCATACCCACTAAGTTATTTTGGAGAAAATTCACAAAATCATATAATTTTATACATAAGATTTCAGTTTAGAATGCTCAAAGATAAGGAATTCAGTACTGTTATCACCATAAGTAAAAAGTGATTTCATGACATATCAAACACCCAGTGGGCGTTGGGAGATTTTTCATACATTGTTAGGCACCTTTTTGCTAACAGTTAAGTCCTACCAGGGTTTAAATGAATTCCATACAATACCATCGGTTGGTATATTTCTTGAGTCTCTTAATATTTTACTTTTATTTCATACCCTTTGCAAATTAATTTTTACAGAAACCAAATTCTTTGTCCTGGGCGGTTTCTGACAGTCTGGATTTTGCTCATGGCATTCCGATTGTGTGGTTCAAATGTTCTTCTGGGCCAGGCGCAGTGGCTCACGCCTGTAATCCCAGCACTTTGGGAGGCCGAGGCGGGTGGATCACGAGGTCATGAGATCGAGACCATCCTGGTCAACATGGCGAAACCCCGCCTCTACTAAAAATACAAAAATTAGCTGGGCATGGTGGTGCGCGCCTGTAATCCCAGCTACTCGGGAGGCTGAGGCAGGAGAATTGCCTGAACCCAGGAGGCGGAGGTTGTGGTGAGCCGAGATCGCGCCATTGCACTCCAGCCTGGGTAAGAAGAGCAAAACTCCGTCTCAAAAAAAAAAAACAAAAACAAATATGCTTCTGTCCCAAAGATGTCTGTAAGTCCCTAGTAATCTCAAGACGCCTACTGAGATGACATCTAGGTTTGGATCTTTTAGCCTTGACTGTGCCATGGGTAGTGCTAGGTACATCCTTCAGGAAGCAGAGCATATTCAGCTGGGAAACAATCAGTCATTGATGATCACTGCCTCAATCTACTGATTCACCCATGGGTAAAACTGGGGTTTTCTCATTTTATTCTTTTCTCCATTTAGTGGTTAGAATACTTCTATATAAACTATGCTTCCTTCAACAACTCTTTCAATATCCTGAAGGTACACCTTGTGCAGAAAAGGCCAAATAAATGGTCCCTGCTGCCACCAATTTATATTTTTATTTTTAAAAATACACTAGTTGTTTGGTTCTTTAGCATGCCCCGGTAATTCATTTGTCATCCAAATGGGATGAAAAAGACATCACGTTTGCTTTTTCTTACTTTGATTATTTGAATTACTATGAATACATGAATTTCAGCCTATTTGATGCATTTTAATCCATGTAGCTTACATCCTTGTACATACATCCTGTAGCATTTGAAGCCCAGAGTAGCCTCTTGAGGGTGGCTTCTGGATTCTTCTGACCTCCATCCAAGTGTCTTTGAGAGCTTCTTTACTCTCTGGGTGGATGAGGTGTTCCTCTACCTTTTACCTGTTTCCTTCCATAGATCTGGAATCACTCATTTCTGGGTGCTTTAGCACTAAAGGTGCCCACATGTCTTCTCAGTGGACAGAGCTAAGAAGCATTTTTTTAGATATACCATGAGCTTCCCCTAGTGCTTCCAGTTCATCTCCAGGACTCAAGGGTCTTTGTTAACCTTTCCCATCTTAGGGTCTATTTCTTTCTTGCACAAAATCCCAAGTCTCTACAGACCAACCTAATTATTTCTTTGTCTTTTTTCTTTAGCACATACTCAGTCATTTTAGAATAACAGCTGCATACAACCCTGGTTGTTTTTGATTATTGAAAAATCTTTAAAATGACTTTTTTTTCTCTTTCTTTTGGTCTTCACAGTATATATATTTCACTGGGAAATTCTCACAAAATCACTGCTTGAAAATCGGTTGAAATAATTTCTTTCCATGTGGTTATGGCACCAACCCAAGACTCAGTTACTATCATTTGTTTAACTTTTTTTTTGACTTTTAGAAATTCGTAAAATTGACATTATTTTGCAGTGTTTCAAAGTCACATTATTAAAGCCAGGGGTCTTCAAAGGAATCTAGCTTTGCTCCTGTTTTCTGTATCCTGTTCTAGAACTCTTTTCTTCATTTAGCCTTTTACCTATATTTTATGGGTTAGGCTACTTGTAATAGAAGCAAAGCAACACAAATACACCTACAAATATATGTTTATACTCTCTTTTCTTAGATGAAAGGTGGTGCTTATATAGACTTCTGTCTGTGTAGCATTATTAGGCTAATGATATATGCTGGAGCCTACTCTGTAGAAGATTTATCTTTTTTTTTTGTAGTTGCATCATTTCCACTATGTGATGAGCCTTAACCTCATTAAAATTCCTTATTGAGGGATGCTTAGGTTATTTTCTGTCATCTGTGACCATGGATACTGTTTCAATGAGTAGTTCCTCCTGTAAACATCAGTTAATATTTTTGCAAGTGTACCATTGGAAGAGATTTTTGGAATATGGATTTCTGGGTCAAACGGTGAATGCATATGTGGTCTTGTAGATGTTGCCCACTTCTCTTTCATAGAGAATGCACCACTTTGTATTCTAGTTGCCCTGGATATGAATACCTGTTACTCTGCTGCCTTTCCTGCAGAGTATACCATCAGGCTTTGGGATTTGGGCCAAACTTTGTGCATAGATGGCATCTCAGTGTATTTTCACTTGCATATTTTAAATTCTGGGTGAAGAGTCAGTGAACATTTAAAAGAAGCCTTTGGTATACAGGGTCTTCGCTAGATATTGAGGAGATCAAGAAGACACATAGTTCCTATTGAAAGGGTTTAGACTATTTTTAGGAATGTGAACTTAAAGGACCATTACATAACATTCTGTCAAGGGTCCTAACAGGTGCCTATGCTGGGTGCTGCAGAGCCTAGGAGACGGGCTCTAAGCCCACATCCTGGGCTGTAGGATGGTGACTGAGGAAGGTTTCTAGGATAAGGTCGTGCCAGAGCTGCATCCCAAGTGATTGCTGGAAGGTGTTTATAAAACTTACGAAGTGAGAGGTTTCCAGGGAGAGGAACAGGGCAAGTGATAAGCCCTGAAGTGAGAGATGGAGCATTGCAGGTCCTGGGAAGCCTCACACACAGGAAGTCAGGACATCTTATTTTAAGATATGGAGGAGGAGGTAGAGGGCATGAGGCTCACTGGCAAGTGCGGAATAGGAGGTGCCTGGCATTGGCAGGCATCGGAACAAGTTTATCCTCTATGTGGAGGATGGCAAAATGCCAGCAGGGACAGCCCATTCTGAAGCTGCTACTGAGACCAACGGGAAGAGGAACTGCATTAAGAGAGGGGAGGCAGAAATGTAGAGAAGAGGTGGATTCTGGGATTGGAAAGGAGTGTGGTTGAGGATTCAGCGGATGTACAGCAGGAGTGAGAAGGAAGCCCTGAGTGCCGTCCCCACAGTCTTGGCTGTCAATTCCACATAGAATCAAGAAGAGAAAGCAGATGCAAGGGGTGTGGTGATTTTAGATGGAAAAGGCTGAGCTCCCATGAGCCACCAGATGGAATTATCCAGTTGAGAGGGAGCCTTCCTGAGAACCAAGAAAAGGGATATGTTCAAGAGGGCAGTGTCCAGCAGAGCACCGGCTACTGCAGTGTTCAAGGTAGGTGTGTGCCAGAAGGAAGAGTCACACACTTGCCCTGATTTTCCTGGGGCTTTCCTGATTGCTTATGTTCTGGAAAGCCAGGGCAGTTGGTCATTCTCTGAGAAATTCCATCAGCAGTACTGTCTTAGCTGCTTAGGGCTGCTGTAACAAATGACTGCACACTGGATGGCTTAAAACAACCTAATAGTCTCTTCTCACAGTTCTGGGGGCCAGAAGTTCAAAATCACCGTGTTTGCAGGTCTGTGTTCTCCCTGAAGCCTCTAGGGAAGAACTATTCTCTGCTTCCTCCTCGCTTCTTATGGCTGCCAGCAGGGTTTGGCATTCCTTGGCTCATGGATGCATCACTTGTCTCTTAGGCTGTAGTCTCATGGCGTCCTCCCTCTCTGTTCCTGTCTGTTTGCCCTCTCCTCTTTTTATAAGGATAGAAGTCACGTTGAACTTAGGGCTAACCCTAATCTAGTGTGACCTCATCTTAAACAATTAATCTGGAAAGGTGCTGTTCCCACACACGGTCACGTTCACAGATACCTGTAGTTAGGATTTCAGTGTATCTTTAGGGAGGACACATCAAAGGCAGCATGTCTCAGAGCAGGTTCAGCGCAGGGTTGGGGGAAGAAACCAGATGGTGATGTGTCAGGGGATACATCAGAGGTTAGGGACAAGATGAAAGATATAAAAGGAGAGAATTCGTGTCAGCCACACAGGGA